CGTCTTTAAAATTTAGTTATGTTAATATTGGTGCACCTGGTAGATGTAACGATGCATTTGTTTACAACAGATCAACTCTTTTCGAAGTGATGCAAAACCCGGTGTATGCTCAAAACTGTTTAACTGTGAATAATGTCAAAATTCAAGCTCACCTGATCGCTGATTCTGCATTTCCATTAAGTAACAATTTAATGAAACCATATACTGAACGTACAAATATGCCTCAACATCAATCATTGTTCAATTATCGACTTAGCCGGTGCCGTTGTACAATTGAAAGATCGTTTGGCCATCTTAAAAACCGATTTCGATCAATACATAAAAAAATGGAGTATGATATTGAACATGTGAAAAATATAATTAAAGCTGCTTGTATTTTACACAACATCTGTGTCGATTCTCAAGATGCTGTTGAAACTGATTGGGACATTATTGCTACACCATATAAAAAGCCGAATTGTTATATACAAACATTAGGTGCTGTTGACATGAGAGACGCATTAAGTTTTTATTTTTTACAGAATCCATTGTAATTTTTTTTTTATTTTACATTGTATATATGATTTCGACATATTATTTTCAAATAATACTGTGCCTAATAAAATTTTTATTTTAAAATGTTTTCGATATCTATTACAAACGCAAAAAATATTAATTTAATCCGAAACAGTGTCAAAATCTATACACATCCACTTATATCAGGTCTTAAAGATTATACATATCGCTATTTCAGGTTTATATGCTCCCATTTATTTTTTTTTTATACTCAATAGTAAATTAATAAAATATTCGTAAGTTTTTATTCGACAGGAGAATTCATTACTCTGTTTGTGTCATTAGCGACTCCTCCATTATTCCCTAAGCGAAGCGCTAGTTCATCTCGTAAAAGTGTGCTATTTTTATACACTATACATACATGGTTGAGGTACGTCCACAGTTCTTATTGGTGCATTAACTTATAAGTGTAGACGCGCATTTATTTAATACAAACTTAATACTGTATTAATTCTGTAGTGTGGACAAGGCCTAACAAGAAGAGAACGAAAAAGCTTTATTGTTCAATTTAACGACGACATCGAGAGAAAAAGTATTTATTCGCTATTCTGTTTTAGTCAATAAGACTGGGATATAGCAAGATGTCGCGCATTTCTTTGTGCGTAAGAGCATTAATCAAGAAAATTGTTCTTAGAAATATTAAAAAATATGAATTCGTAAAAGAAAGGCATTTTCACTGATTGACGATACACTCTACATTAGTTTATTTAATTGGCAGAGCACATCAAAGAGTGTGAGTATCGTAATGTCACTAATCTGCAGATCTACCCATATATTTGATATATTAGAATTTACGAGATTTATGATATTGATAAATGAATATTCTGAATCAATGACAATATTGTGATACAAAAAACTCTAGGCAAGTCTCATGTCTATGCACTTTCGTATTAATTCTTCAAATTTCATTCATCTCAACAACTCATTTCAAGATCGTATATTTTATGCTTACTAATGAATGATACATTTCCTTTCGAATATTAATTCTTCAAATTTCATAAATATGAACTTAATGATCTGTGAACAAGATGACTGATAGAAACTAATTAAAATCAAATGTTTGAATGGTAGTTTTTGGAATAGGTTTTATTTGAAATTTTTGTTAATTTTCTTATCCTCTAAAGCATTATGAAAAATTGACTATATCTCTAAAAATTTAAAATATGATTAAGTATTATATGTTTGAAAAAAACAATTATGAATAATATATACACAATATTAAAGAAACTGTACTCCATAGATTTTGAATACATGTTCCTATTCGAAAAATTATTTTGGACCATAGGATGGCATTTGTTTGATTTTTTATTTCCGTAACAATGAAGAGATGATATTATATATATTTTTTATTTGTATATAAATAAATGTAATTTTATTCAATTCGTAATAAATTTCGGCAGAAAACTTTTTTCGTATAACGCAATATGTATATATATTCAATCTTTAATATCTACTTACTCATGATATGATTTCAATTATGTTATACTGAAATCCAAATAATCAAAAAAAAAAATTTTTTTTTTTTCTTCGAACAAGAATGTATCCATGTGTAATCACTGCTAT